CTGTCAATCTCAATGCTCATCGTCAAGATGAGGAGGTTATGAGATGGATCGCAATCATGAGAGACCGTTATAAGGACAAGAAAATCATTGTCGCTCGAGATAAGCTTGACCATGTTCGTGGAGTTCGACAGAAGCTCCTCTCCTATGAGCTGTTTCTCAACAAAAACCCCCAGTGGAGAGATAAGGTTGTTCTAATCCAAGTTGCCTTATCTACCGGCGAGAAGACGGACCTCGACGCGGCTGTTGGTGATATCGTCACTAGAGTGAACTCGAGTTGGGCCAACCTCGCCTATCTGCCTCTTGTGTATTTGAAGCAAGATATTCCATACCCCCAGTATCTTGCGCTATTAACAATTGCGGATGCCCTTATGATTACCAGCCAGCGTGAGGGAATGAACCTCACTTCTCACGAGTTCATTGTCTGTCAAGACGGAAAATACTCTGACAGGAAGCATGGATCTTTGATTCTATCAGAGTTCACTGGAACTTCGTCACTATTCGGGGGTAAGGAGTTAACCGTCAATCCATGGAGTTACCGGCAATGCTCCGAAGCCATCAAGCAGGCGCTTGAAATGTCCGACGAAGAGAAGGATGAAAGGTGGGAAGCACTTCGTGAGATCGTCAGCCACCATACCGGAAGCCACTGGTTCTCGAAATTCATAAGCACTCTCGATCAGGTCTACGAAGAACAGCACCGTCATGACCAAACATCTGTTCCTCGACTAAACTTGAATACTCTTGCGCAACGGTATTCCAAGAGTCAAAAACGGCTATTCTTCCTCGACCTTGAAGGCACACTAATTCCTTATGGCCCGATGAATGAGATCATCCCCATGAATCCCCAGGTTAGTTGAAATTTATTCCTTACAACATGTTCAATTGCTAACATATCTACAGCGGACCTTAGACGTGTTAAACGACCTCGTTGAAGATCCTCGTAACACTATCTATGTTATGTCTGGACGTAGACCAGAAGAGCTCGATCGCCTTTTTCGCCTAGTTCCCAACCTAGGCCTCATAGCCGAGAATGGTTGCTTTATCAAGAAGTCCGGAAGCGCTTCATGGACCGAAGTCGCAGATCATGATAAGGTTACCACGTGGAAAGAATCAGTTCGAGGGATCTTGCAGTACTATCTCGAGCGAACCCCTGGATCAGAGATTGAAGACCGCAATTGTTCAGTGATATTTCACTATAAGCATGCTGATGACTATGCAAATGCTGAGCGGCAAGCAAGCGATTGGACTGGACACATCAATGAATCCTGTGAGGAGCAGCGGGTTCATGCGACGCAGTTGGATAACTGCGTTGTTGTTGAGCCAATTGACTGGACGAAGGAGACCGCTGCCGCCCAAGTCTACGAGGATGCGAACAAAGATGCTCAGGACTCCCAAAATAGCCCAGTTGACTTCCTCATGGTCATTGGCGATGGCCGCGAGGACGAAAAGGTTTACAAGTGGGCTAACGGTCTAAAAGGAGGTAATGGGGCAAAGGATGTAATCACGGTAAGCTTGGGGAGCCGGAATACCGAAGCTACCTCAACTTTAACGCAGGGCGTTAGCGGTGAGTAACATCCAACATAACCTTCATGGAACTAGTCTAATAGCCATCATAGGTGTTCTTGTGACGCTGCAAAAGCTTGCTGGACTTTCTTAGACGGGAAGGGTTGTGGCCTATGCAATAAAGCGGGCGTGCTCGGTAGCATTGTGGCAGGCGCCTCATAGTACCTTGGAGCTTACATACTGGTTTTGGCGTATATTCTGGCTTAGAACCCCTGGGTGGCCACGGATGATAATTCGTATCCGCATTTTCATAGCCGCAACAGAGACTCGCTTTCATTAGAGTCCTTGTAACAAAACTGGGAGACACGCATTAGAGCGGTGTTGATGAGTTTGGGGTTTTACGATTTTCTGCTTTTCCCAAGCCGGTTCCTTTAGGACTGTATCACAACTCGCTTAGACATGAGGGGGTTATTTTGGTGGTGTACATCGGATCTGGGACGTTTTGAGGTGGGATGGATTTTTAAAAGGATACAACTCCGTTGAGGGCTGGTAATATGGGAGAGAATTACGTACATAATGAACCGTTTGGGCAGGCTAACGAGTATTGATGACTACTAGTGGATTTAGATAGTACTTATTGGGGATACATAGGATCATTCATCTTACCCTGTACATATTTGTTAGTGGTTGTGACGATAGCTCGTCACAGCTATTTTTGGTATTTGGTAGAACAATGTCAACTCTACGAATCAACCCATTGCTGTATCTTTATTTCGCTCTCTTCTGAAGCCATTAGTTCCTACTAGGTAGTGAGTAGCATACCCTATCACATGAAATCGTCTTATATCTTCTAACGAAGTTTCATGAAGCCTACCTACATAACTTTTAGAGATAGATTATAATCATTTATTTTGTTATTACTTCATATAAAAAAGCATATTGTAAAATCCTTACTCCAATGGTTATCAATAACTTACTGGAGTTGTTGAATTGATTCTTCGCATGTAAAAGATGGCGCGATATATGAACTACTTTATTTTATGACCGCATTATGGGCGGATTTCGTGTAACGACTTTCAATAACATCCTAAACTGAAACACAGATAACTTTAATAACGTGACTTGAGGTGGAAACTCCATCCGTGAATCTGATGATAAGATAACTGCCGTGTGCATATAGTGGCTCGATGATCATACAGGATCAGCAGATTGACTAGGCGACCCTGTGAAAGCGATATGATAACAGGTACATACTACAGCGAAAGTCCGATTGTGAAAACACCATATCCGAAATTATTAAAGACGTGTATGTATATGAGAATCAGACGATAGGGGTAGCCTTTTTAGGTGCCGACCTAGATCTAGAATGAAGCGTGTGTAAGGTAAGGTTCACGAAGACGCGGCGATGGCATGAGGTGTGGCATGAGGTTTCAACTATATGGGTAGTAGTAGAGCTTCCACCAACCGGATGTATGATTTCATACCTTCTATTCCGGAGGTGTGGTACGTGCATACCTACCTACTTGTATGTAGGTGGTTATATGAAGTTGAGATGCTTGTCGGCATGTGGAAACTCGGATTGATAAAGCGGGATACGTCAACGGCAGGATCCCCGACGGGTGCAACCCCCGAAAGAATGAAGTACCCCATAGTACGAAATCGCCGATGCGTTGCTGATCGACGTCGGCCTACATCGGTCTCGCAAACGCACAAGACGAGAAAACCATAAGAAGTGAATAAGTGGTAGAGACTGCTTCTTAAACGGCATCAAGTACTCGTTAAAAACGATAGCATAATATTCGTCGTCTCATAGAGTACCTATGTATCTAAGAAGATGTACAGTACGCCCCCTGAAATAATGTTATTCAGCAGACCCCTAGAGCTACTTCGCTAAGATCCTGAAGCGTATATCTACTGCCGCCCTATGAGGTTGTCGTAGTTTTTCGAAAACGTTGTTTTAGAGTATTTTATGCTATAAAACCCTGGTATAATAGTTGAGATGCTTTAAGAGGCGTTGTTCTATTCAGAATTAGAAGCCCTGTTCTGTATCGTGCACGTCCGAAAAACTAACATTATTTCAAGGGGTGTACTGTAGACACAATTCTATTCTAATCTAGTTGACATTCATAGTTGCAAATCTAGGCCTAGGCGTAAGCATCATCAACACATACATACTAGGGATTCACCCGGGTAGAAATATAATCTATCTCGTGTCCAAATTTATAGAGCCACCGTGCTTAGTAACCTATTTCAACTGTTGTTAGATTTTGTTGAGAATATATCGCGGGGTGGTGTCCACGATGCGTACCAGAACTAATTCTATTATGGTCGCTTACAAGACGGAGTTCTCCGCCTTCCCCCACCCATAAAACCGGAGCTCCGCAAGCGACGAGCGTATATCCTTAAATATGTTGATCATTGATGCTTATTGAATAATGTATATATAAAGAATAAGTTATTTCCCTTTAGGCTAGGCTCTAGAGATACTTTCTTTCGGAATTTCGAACTTCATTTGGTCAAGTCTCGGTCTGATAATTGTACGCGTATAACAGCTTCCGGACCGAGACAAACGGACGAGATACGAGAACGACCACAAAGCACACCTTAGGTAGTCTGAGATAAAGAAATCGGATCCGAATTTGTGCAACAGCAACATGGAATCTGCAAGCCCCCCGAGTCCCCCGCCGACGGCTGAATCGGAGGGCTGGTTCTGGACATGGGTTATAAGCTCGTATCCTAACTAAACTGATTCGAGTCCGGTCCCTTGCGAAGCACAACGACACATGGCTTATGTGCCATTAGCGTCTTTGGTGAAACTGAGGAAGATATAAATGAAGAGATGTACTGGATCTTATGTGTCCCGAAAGATTGGAAGTCGAACGCCTCATGAAGCTATTAGTGGGGTAATCTGTGTGGACTGTTCGCTGCTGGCTGCGTACACATAAAGTTGTATCACTCGTCTATAATGGCGGGAGAACTATCGAAAAGTCACAAGAGCCTAGCAGGTATCATCCAAGATGTTAGGCTACTGAGAAGCTTGGATATCTGAGTAACTCTATTATTCGGTATCGCCCATTGGCTTTTGTTTGGATGATGTCAGCTTAGGAGGGGCAAATACCCAAGTTTATGGCAATAAGAGAAACTAAGGGTTTGGACTCGGGTTTTGGACCACGAACAGAGGACGCTGCGCAGGGCTTCGTCGGAAAAGATAATGGAATGGTCGAAAGCAAATCTCGTATACAGATTCCCTGGTCCCTTGAGCTAGGCGAAGGTCAAAGGACCTGACTTAGGCGGCAAAGAATGTCAATTCTAGTAAAAGAATTCATAAGAGACAAAGCCACGTCCAAGATGTATTGAATGCAGTTTTGCCCAGTAGACCGAGTTATTCTTGCCTTCATTGAAACTTCCCTTTTCTCAACATCAGTTCTGCAATTCGAATGCTCCTGCTGTGAAATATTCTTAACCTTGTAGATCGCTCCTGTTAGGTAGTACCTACCTACATATGACGAAAGGAGGAGGGCGCTGATTAAGCTAATATTCAGGGTTCAGGGTCCAGACCCCAGGCGAGTTACAAATAGACAAATAACCCCGCGAGTCCGATCTTCGGAGGTATCCGACCCTTACCGGAGTCACGAAATTTCGAATGAGCACCAAAAGTTCATGAACCAATGAACTGATCGCATATTCTCAGCTTGGTAACATCTTTGAATCGTGTCATATTAGGACGGAAATCGAGGGTTAGGACGAGATTGGAAGTAATTGAAGTCTTAACAAAGCAGCGTCGACGCCAATTACTTATTAGACAATGGCTTCATTCCCACCCCCACCAGTTAACACCATTGACTGGTCTAACGTCGGCTTTCGAGTTCGCGAAGGTTAGTCTATGTTGTACTTCTGCTGCTGCTGCTGCTGGGTAATATGGATGCGCAAGAGTAACATAACTAACTCCTTGCATCAGTGAACGGACACATTGAATCGCATTACTCACAGAAAACCGGAAAATGGTCTCCCCTTCAATTCGTGACCGACCCCTATATCCGTATCCACGGTATGGCGCCCGCTCTGAACTACGGCCAACAAGCCTACGAGGGCCTCAAGGCTTTCCGCACTCCATCGGACGATATTCAAGTCTTCCGACCAGACCGTAACGCCGTCCGGATGCAGCACTCTGCCGAATTCATCTCGGTCCCTCCCGTTCCTACGGATCTCTTCGTCGAAGCCGTCAAAGCCGCCGTTTCTCTCAATGCCGAGTACGTCCCGCCCCATGAGACAGGCGCCGCCATGTACATCCGACCACAGATCTATGGATCCAGTGCGCAGTTGGGACTGAGCCCACCTGAAGAATACACATTCTGCGTCTATGTTCTGCCGACCGGTGTGTACCACGGCACACACCCCGTCAATGCTCTTATCCTAGACGAGTTCGATCGTGCAGCTCCTAACGGAACGGGAAGCGCAAAGGTCGGAGGCAACTATGCACCCGTGCTAAGGTGGAGCGACAAGGCAAGAACTGAGGGGTATGGCATTACGCTTCACCTTGATAGCGCAACGCATTCGGAAGTCGATGAGTTTAGCACAAGTGGCTTCATCGGTGCCGTCGTGAACGGGGAGGATGTAACACTCGTGGTACCTGATTCGAAGAACGTGATCCAGAGTGTGACGGCGGATAGTATCACAGACATTGGTCGTAGCTTTGGATGGAAAGTGGAGAGAAGATCCGTGAGTTCCGTCTAGAGTAGAAAAGATTGAGTGAATTCTTGCTGACTTGACTCTAGATTAAATACACGGAGTTGCCGAAATTCTCCGAGGTCATGGCTGCGGGAACTGCTGCCGCCCTGGTGCCGATACGGTCCATCACCAGGCGTTTTGACCCTACCTCACCGGAATCCATTTCGTCTGCCGTTGGAGAGCACAGTCGTCTATCAACAGAGGCGGGATCCGAAAAGGTGACATATATCCCCGATGCTAATGAAGATGCGGGTCCGATTTGCCTAAAGCTGTTGACTCAGCTCAAGGGTATTCAGCTCGGAAAGGTCAAGGATGAGTTCAATTGGTGTTTCGCCGTCGGCCGCGAAGACGGTACAAAGGTGGCTGGAGAGACGAACGGTACACAGAAGAACGCGGAGACGGTCGACCAATTAGATTAATTGGAGTATATCCGACGACAAAAGGCTTTGAAAAGTTAATCTCAGTTTTCTACTATATCACCACGCATTGACAAGGAGAAAGACAAAAAAGGTTCAACCTGGGGAAAATGCGAAAATTAGATGGACGAAGTTTCGATGCTTTAAGATCAAGACATGTCGATTTGCCAAATGCCTAATCTACCTATCTACGGTTCACATAATGTGCTGCACAATATATGTTTACAGCTGCCTGATTTAGAAGTTGGAGGCGTATCCGCATACTTACGGGATATACTATTGTATGAACACTGAAAACCTGCAGATCTGCTATGGTTACTTTGGTTGAATATTCTATCCGGCGCAAATGCTTGCACCAGATTAGTGAGCTCAACTTCCAACTACTAACTAAATGCTCCGATTAACATTGCAAAATAAGCTAATCCACAGCTCTAAAGCCACCTTTAGGACTTTTTTAACTTTTGATAAGTATCATATATTTGCCCCTTTGGCATTAGTATGATATGCTAGTTGATCGATTGAACCTAGACGTCAAACAGCGTTGCCGCATCGCATATCGCATACTATCGGCATGAGATATTTTTCTTTTTCCTATCGGAGATCCTGAAAACCCTTGCTGCTCTGTAACGCCAGCAACCACTAAGCTCTCTTCCCACGAACCCTCCAAGTCCGGGTTCGATTACTGTTCCTCTTTACCACGAGGCTAAGCTAAGATAAGGATATCATGTTCGCAATTCGCTGGAAGCTTTTGTGCTGCTTGTCATACAGTCCCCCACATCGATAATCGATTCGTGGGGATGTTTATCAAGTGACAGGTAGATAATGCGGCACCGAGCTGGAAAGTTACGGTTGCGTTCATGTCTTGTCCCAGCTTTTATAAACGAGACCTATTTTAACAGCTTCTAGCAATTGCGTGTGTGTCATTGATGGATATATTTCAGCTATTGATTATCAACTAGTTAAAATATACCGGTTGACTTGAGTCTTTCTCAGAGCATCGAGCATCGAGCATCGAGCACGCTTAGGCGTTTAATAATGCATCTTGTATTTTGCACTTTTCCGAGATTGACCTGTCATTTATCTTCTATTGGGTCAGCCTCCGAAATCAGCAGCATCCTCTCTTTTTTTTGTTGGCTTTTACCTGCATAGAAAGCAAGACCAGGGACCTCCCCACGCCGCTTTTCGTCATCTTATCGTGTAGAATGATAGGTAGACCAATTCACCTAGGATCTGTGTCTTTTTAGAGGGGCCATGGGCATCGGTCTAGGTCGACCGAATTGTTTGCCCTCTTATATCTTGCATTAGACCACACCGAAATCTAAGATGTAGCGCCACCTAATGACCCTGAAGAAAATTTTACATACATACTTGAAACTACCTACCTTTGGTGTTCGCGTATTAGTAGTAATGCCGATTGTTCAATATGGCAGCGCCCAAGATCACAATTGCTGCGGATGACAGCTTTTCCGGTAGGCCCATCCCGGATCTCGGGGGTGTTTACCGCACGCGCAGCTTGTCACAGTCTCAGGGTCTTGGTAGGCGCCGTACCGCTTCTCGCGCGTCTCACGAGAGACGCAGTGAACACCTTGATGTTGAAGATGAGGATGACTGGCTCCAAGACGATGGTCGGAAGAAACAAGTCTTCAAGGGAACCGCACTACTCTGGTATTGTGACTAGTTTTATCATACACTTCATCAGTTTTAGGTGTTAATAGCTAATCCCCTATATAAAGGCTGTCATACCAGTCGATCGGCGTAATCTATGGTGATATAGGAACAAGGTAGAACTCCCCTGTACCGCAAATTAGATTGGTTACAAGCCACTAAAACATGGAACATAGTCCCTTATATGTGTTCTCGAGTACTTTCACTTCTCAGCCATCCTATGATGATCTCCTCCAGGTCCTCTCGGTGATACTTTGGTCTTTGACCATCATGGTTACGCTGAAATATGTGTTAATCGTGTTGCACGCCGACAACCAGGGAGAGGGTGGCACGTTTAGTTGCTACTCGTTACTCACTCGATATGTGAGTTGTTGATATTCTTAGGGGGGTGTCCTCGTTATTAATACCGCTAGGCTAATATCACCGATCGCGATCCTCGAGAGGCGCGACTCGTGAAGATGGAACGACACGAGACGGACGATATGCGCCCGAGTAATCGAACATTACGCTCGACCATCGAGAAAAACACGTTTCTACGCGGTTTACTAAAGATTATTGGCGTCTTAGCTGTTTCTATGGTTATCGCTGACGGTGTCCTTACCCCTGCACAGTCTGTTCTCGGAGCCATCCAGGGTCTCTCGGTGGTGAGTCCCAGCATAAGCAGCTCTACCATCGTCGGAGCATCATGCGGCATACTAGTTGTGCTCTTCCTTATCCAACCTCTTGGAACCACCAAGTTAGCGAGCACATTTGCTCCTATCGTCATCCTGTGGCTCGGATTCAACGCCGGTTTTGGCATTTACAACTTGGTTATGTACGACCACTCGGTGTTGAAGGCCTTCTCGCCCTACTTTGCGATACACTTCTTCATGGAGAAGAAGACGACTGCTTGGAGAATGCTTGGGGGCATTTTACTCTCGTTCACTGGTGTCGAGGCACTCTTTGCAGACCTCGGTGCCTTCAGCATGAGAGCCATTCAGATAAGTTGGTTATCTTGGTGCTACCCTTGTCTTCTTTTAGCATACGTCGGCCAGGCTGCGTATATCAGCGTCCACCCTGATGCGTATACGAACCCTTTCTACAAAGCCGTCCCCCCCGGAATGCTGTATCCTAGCTTGATTGTTGCCGTCCTGGCAGCAATTGTTGCTTCGCAAGCCATGATCACGGCTGTTTTCCAGGTATGTAAATGGGCATATCAATATGTACTAGGGGATACCATGCTAAAAAGCTACTTCTCCAGCTCATTAGCCAGTTGATGAAGTTATCGTACTGTCCGCAAGTGAAAGTCGTCCACACATCGAAGACATTCCATGGGCAACTGTACGTGCCCTTCGTTAATTGGATCTTGATGTGCGGGGCTATTCTTGTTACTTGCGTTTATTCAAACACAACCCGCCTTGGAGACGCATATGGGTATGTGTCTATGATTTTTATCCTTCTGAAATGTATCTTCCTTTCTAGTAGAATCTAACGTGTTACCAGCGTTTGTGTCATGTTTGTCACCTTCTTCGATACATCGATGGTGACCCTTGCCTGTTTGATCGTGTGGGGATTGTCCCCCTATCTTGTCTTCGTGCCGTGGCTTTTCTTTGCTACAGTCGACGGCCTGTACCTTTCCGCGGCTTTAACCAAAGTTCCTGACGGAGCCTGGTTCACGATTACCATTTCGGGAATTCTTACATGCATTTTTCTACTCTGGCGCTTCGGTAAGGAAAATCAATGGCGCGCCGAGGCAGAAGACCGATTCCGTCCCGCGCAACTCCTGCACCGGACAGACTCTACTCCTAATAGCGACCTTGTACTCGGACCCCGTTGGGGTGGTGGTGCTGTGAGTCGGATTAGGGGGTTTGGTATATTCTTCGACAAGACGGGTGTGCTAACGCCAACTGTGTTTACGCAATTTGTTAGCAAGTTTGGGACTGTGCCGGATGCTATGATTTTCTTCCATCTGCATCCTGCGGAAACACCGACTGTTCCATTTAATGAGCGTTATTCTATCTCGCGTATAACTGCTATTCCAGGTTGCTATAGACTGGTGGTCCGCAGTGGCTTTATGGACGAAGTGATCACGCCCGATCTTGCGGCACTGATATACGAGCAAGTACGGAAGTTCGTTATCGATCAAGCCAATGATGATAATACAAGTCGACCTTCAGTGGAGATCGAAGTTATAGGGGTGCAAGTACCAAGTGAAACTCACGGGGTATCTTCTGGGAGAGATGTTCAAGCGAATGGCCAGAGCGAGAGGAACAGGGCAGTACTTGCGCTCGGAGACGATGCGATAAAGGAGGAGCTAGGTAGGCTTGACCGGGCTTTCGCCAGCAAGGTCATGTATGTGATCGGCAAGGAACAAATGCGCATAAAAGACCATCCCGCGTCATTTTTCCGGCGCATAATCCTGACAACGTTCCTCTGGATCAGGGATAACACGCGCGCCAAGATCGCGAATCTAAGGCTTTCCATGGATAGGGTTGTCGAGGTTGGGTTTGTTAAAGAGATATAATGCGAAACAAACGTTACGAATATTGTTTCGGAATATCTGATATTGTAAGACAGGATGGGACTAGATGAATACCTCCTAATATTTAGGCAGATTCCTAGGATATATAGGTACCTAAGGAGAGTAAGACTTGATATTATTGCAGAACTATGAAATTCCATTACTTACACGTCCCAGCGGAGATGCTACACTATCAGTTATCAGAGAAATCCATAGCCAATACCAGGATCATTAATTCTCTCTTTCTCCAAAGTATTAAGATACACATACTACGCACCCCACCTACAGTCGGATTGCTTTGCTCGAATAATGTTAACTTTATTATAGGTAACGTGGTTAGGACTTATGCGATTAGGACACACAGCACGTCGAGTTCTCAATGAAGAAATATTAGGTACCTCTCACTCACACAGGCTTGTTCTGCGATGAAAGCCCAGAACTCGACGCTCGGGCGATATAACATCTTTGCGCAACTTCTAACACGAAAACTATTCTTGTGGACAATAATCAAAAAGAAAAAGCGCCGAAACTGCTTACTTCCTTAAATATCGTCGAAATACCGGGTTTTAGCAGGAGCTGTATTCTCGATGTTAGAGTTCATGACCAGAATGTATTCAGGGGAAGTTTGGCCGACTGCTTTAGAGCTTGGACCAGTGGAGCTATGATATGGTTTTTTCCAGGGGGCTTTATGCCTATCACAGGGGCCAATATCGTCCGATCGGTCACCTACGCTCGTAGCAGATGCCCGACACCTGTGAGATATTTCTCTTCTGTTCCATACTTCCATACATCCTCAAGCTTTTAGTTGATGAGTGTAAGGGCATCGATATACTTCAAAGCATGGAGTTAGTCGAAGTCGGAGGAGCTGCTTTAGAGCCTTCTATAGGGGATAAACTAGTGAACCTGGGTGTCAACCTCGTATCTCGACTCGGAAGTACCGAATGAGGTTTTCTCACGTCGTCATACCGCGACTTTACCTACGACAAGGAGTGACAGTATTGGCTTACTGAAGATTCTACACTTATATCATTTGAGCCGAGGGAAAATGATCTATCGGAACTAGTGGTAAACCCGAGGTGGCCTCTAATAGAAAAGACAAATCGTGATGATGGTTCCTATGCCACTGCGGACTTATTCGAACCAAACCTTCCATACCCAACGCATGGTGATATTATAGTCGAGTTGATGCCTAGATAACTTTAGCTAACGGTAAAAAATTGACCTGGCCCCTCTTGAAGATACTATTAAAATATCAAGTCACCTGGTACGAGATACTCTCATATTTGGGGCAAACAAGGAGTACGCCGGCGTTCTATTATTTAAAGCTTCAAATCGATATTCGGATGATGATATAATAAACGCAGTTTGGCCATGTGTACAGAAGTTGAATGAGGAGACGGAAAGTCATTGTCGTCTGCTAAGATCAATGTTGATTCCTATCGAATCAGAAGAGGGGGGAATAACCACTCCCCAAAAGCAGCAATGGGATTACACTAAGACGTCAAGCTGAGAGTCGCTTCTCCGATGCCATTGCCGACGCGTATTCTTCCAATAAAAATATATCAGTGAAGATACATAGTATTTCGGACACGGATGTTTTCTCCGCCGTACTTGACCTATCCACTCAGGTTGTAGGCCGTGAAATACACCCGCATCGAGATATTTTTCGGCAAGGGGTGGATTCAATCGTGTGTATTCAAATGGGGAAGCCCATCCAATCCAACATTCTGCCCGACATATCCGTTAAGTTACCCGAGAGTCTTGTTTACGACAGCGGGAATGTTCGTGCTTTAGCAGAGGAGCTGATTCGGGTGCGCAATGGCGGCAATTTTCGTGACCCTCGTAGGGATGTTGAGGAATGGAAGTTGATGCGAGAGCTTGCGGAGAAACACGGCCATTTTGAGACTCATGGCGTCGACTTAATACGAGGAAATAGAGAGGTCGTGGTACTCAATGGCGCTACTGGCATGCTTGGATCACATATACTATCTGAATTACGCCGTAATAATAGTACCGGAAAGATATACTGCTTACCCAGGGGCGAAAGCACTACGGAAACGGTAAGCTGCCAGGCCTAGACGAACGGGACAAGCCGGAAGCCGTGAAAGAAAAAAGATTATCTGTCTTCCTTGCCAAATATCTGAATCACATCTTGGCCTATCTGACGATGAGTGGATACGCATTGTAGCCGAATCGACCATCTACATTCATACGACGTAGTCGGTTAATTACAGTCTTCCACTTAATTCAGTGGAGTTTAAAAGTCATATAAGAGGGACTCACAACGCAATAACTGCAGCATTATCGAGCAGGGCAAGATTCTTCTTTATCAGCTCAACGGCAGCAGTGAGCTCCAACCCCTCTACAACCATCGCGGAGGAGGTTTCATTGGATCCATCACACGCATCTCCACTTGGAAACCCTAGGTCGAAATGGGTCGCTGAACGAGTGTGTACAAGAGCTCGTGAGCAGTTATACAATGACATAAAAGTTGAAGCCACGAGGAATACAGATATCTCAGTCGTTCGTGTGGGGCCGTTCTGTGGTAATGAGGCCGGTGTCTGGAATACAGCCGAAGCATATCCGGCACTATTGTCAACTGCTCGCCTTGTAGGGTGTGTCTACAGGATTGCCAAATGAAATTGTTAACTGGTTACCTGTGGACCAAGCTGCCAGAATAGTATCAGATATTGTACTGTCGAATTGTACTACCAAGTTGTCCCCTCAATCGAAGGCACCTCGTGGAATTGGCTTCTTCATTGGATCTCAGAGGCACCAGGTCACTCCTCGTTTAAAATACTGCAGGCGGAACAGTGGTTGAAGCGTTTGGAGCTAAAATTCGGCAGGATACGAGAAGCCCATCCAGCCCAGGCCCTCGTTGGGCTGTGGAAGCGGAGATACTCTTCCGTGGTTGATATATCTAGAACTCCGAAGCCCTCAAACTTCGATGTCACCTCGAGCCTACGGTTATCCCAGACTATGAGGGATATGAAGCCGCCCAACTACGAGAGCGTGATAAAGATGTGGGACTGGATTGAGATGAACATGGGAGCTAGCTACTCCAAAGGATGCTGTGCTTGACCTAACTATAATAGTTCGTTTTACTTTAATATAATATCAAATGAATAGGTACCTACCTAGGTATTCTTTTGCGATGAGTTTGGCATGCCTATCATCGAGGAATGGTCTACCTGGATAGCTAAGAGTGTATAAAAATTATGTCAAGTATGTTAAGCTCCATAGCTTCCTTCATCTAGTCTTAATGAACTTGCTACCTACCTATATAGCAAACTAATCTTGATACAATCTATACTCCGTTCCACGTGTAAAAGATCTATAAATCAAGGTGGCGGTCCCTTATTAATAGCAGCTTAATTCGGTAAATTAGGCGCAGTACTACTCTCAAAGTCAGAAATCATATCAATATTATTAGAGGTCGTTGTATTCTAGAAAGGATCCATCGTGCAGGGGCAAATATTTCCGCAACTCATCAAGTGACTACAGTGAAGTTCTAGGCGCGCTTCATCTTGCATACCGATACCCTGCCAGTGTATCTTGATTCGGTTGACGTATAGAGATAGATATCAGTACGCAAGGGAACGTTAAGCGTGACAGGTCACCAGGCTGAAGGGGCATCTATATAGTCTAGGGGCCAATCAAGTTTCTAAGAATTATCAAATATGTCTTCAATATTATTCATGTTAGTATCCCCACTTCGAGCGGTGAGTTATTGTCTAAACTGTATAGAGCTGCCCATGATTATCGTAGGGGTTCGGCTAGGATAATTTTGTAGGTAAAATAGGTTAGTTAAATAAAGATATAACAGCTTGTAGGTTTTGGATAAGTCGTTATCTAGTAGCACCCCTATGTTTATGTGTCCACATACTTACGTATACCCAGATGAAATACCGAATACACGTTACCAGTACCTAGTATTGGAGGAAAAGGTCACAGCATGGTATTGGAACGCCGGTTTATAGACTAGGTACATTGACTAGTATTAGTCAGATGCCTACGAGAAAATATTCCTACCCAATCGAGATGATGTATTGTTACGAGAAGTAGTCCTTGGAGTCCTCTATGCAACGAACTCGGCAGATGTTACACTACTGACGCGGACAGCCTATAAGAATTCGTTGAACTTCCTCCGCATTTTAAGACTTGACCAATCACGATAGCGGTTTGAAATCGCGCGATGTAAAAAAAACGACGAGGCATAACTGCAGACAATCACATTTTCCTGATAGATCAGCGGAGAAGGGGAGATTCATCTGGGGATCATCAACCAAGCTTCGAGACAGATCCACACGATAAGCAAGGTCCAGCCGTAGATATGAAGACACCGCACTCTTCTAGGCGCATTCCTTTATCTCCGTTATCGGGTGTCGTACTGTATGCCAAATTATACTAACGGAGATAACGTCGCATAGAGACATGGAGACATGGAGACATGATGGCCAGGCTACACAAACAAGACTGGGGACAAGACCGGGGAACGCAGGAGGCTTGATTGCCGGTTTCTAATCGGGTTAGTATTTATGACATGTCTGTTAATAAGGCTCGAGTCTGGCTATTTGTGAAATCCATCATATGGGGATTATCCTGTCGTGAAACATACCTAACTACGGTATAATGTATTTATAGAAGTATACATATGGACTTGAATGACTATTGACTATCAACCGAGAATATATCATATCCATATTTGAAGCAGCATAGATGATATGAAAAGACATTACCTCTCAGTAAGCCCTGGAACCACCCACGCCCTGCTTTTAAAACCCGAAATTGGAAAAGCTCATGCGAAATGACTTTCGGGATTCGGTTTCTTATTCCTAACATGTATCGGGTTGCACATCGCGGCTCTTCCTTTCTCAGGTGGCATCGCATCTGGGTTGGATGCCGCTTTAGTTACGTCCGGTAACGCTAGGATTGCCCCTCCACACCTTTCAGTTTGATAATTCCTTCATCAGACCCAACCACGTAGGCAGGCAAATATTTCCTATCGAGATAGAGTCCAGAGCTAATTTGCTGATTGGAGAAATACATAGCACAAGGAGGGGATAACACCTCCCCGTCGCTGGTTCCACTGGGTGCTGCTTTATCTCGGGGACGTTAACGCGTCGGGCGACAGGCAAACTCATGCCTTGCCTATCTATCATCACAATACCCAATCTTCAACTAGATTCGTCGTAGATGATTCCCGCAACGCAGTCTCCGGGGCCCCGTAGCTTTGTTATTGGCGAGATGGAGTAAACTATTGATTAGAACAAAGGCCTTGGAGATAAGGACGGAACGAACCCTGGGCAGGCCTCACGATGATAAATGGCGGCCATGGAGACATGTACCAGGCCTCATCGTTGAGCAAGCAATATCTGTGTTCGACTCAGGTTCTACACATCTCTCGCCTGCAGTAGAAGGCTTTGTACTTATCCATTCCCATCATCTGTACCTACCTACCTAGGTACCTATTGATATATATCCAACATGGCAACTGCAGCAGTAAAGCCAGCCTCAGTTGATCCTAAACCAAACTGGATCCCAATAATCAAGGTGCCTGATCTGTCACAACTTGGAAACGATGATTTCAGCCCTGCACGACACCTTTCATTCAAGGAACCCCCGAAGGTATATACCATGAAAG